AGTGCAGGCTTCTACCCTGGGGGTTTTTAAGAGGAGGTTAGATGAACACCTTGCTGGGGTCGTTTGACCCCAGTACTCTTTCCTGCCATGGCAGGGGGTCAGACTGGATGATCTACTCAGGTCCCTTCCGACCCTAGAAACTATGAGGATTTTGATTCAGTGCTGATGGAGACCTCTAGGACTGTGAAGGAAAGGACTGCCAAAGGCAGTGCTAGAGAAGAGAGGGGATATATATTCCCAGGAAGGTGGAAACTGGAAGCTTGTGACCTGGCAGCAAGCAGAAATCTTCATCTCCACCTGCATCTATTTGCCCAGAGAACAGATACGGAGTCCTAGCAACAGAGGAGGAGGAGGAGCATGTTCCATTAGTAGAGGAGGACAGGCCACACCTCACTAAGGTGAGAAGGGTTGAAACCACTGCCACCAAGGTAAAACGATGGGTGGTGATGGCTCAAAACTCCCTTCTGTGGGGGACAGAGGGATCCATCTTGTGGCCTGACCTGTTGTCTTAGGAAGTCTTTTGCTTGCCCAGAGCCTGGATCCAAGATGTCATGGGAGCATTTCTGAGACTCATTTGGCCCTCTGACTATTACCCCATGTTTCTTATCTATGTGGGCACCAATAATACTGCCAGGGGAGACTCTGAGTAGATCAAAAGTGACTACAGGGGTCTGAGTGCAAGGATGAAGAGGACAGGGGCTCAGGTGGTGTTCTCGATCCTTCCAGTCAAGGGGAAGGGCCTAGGCAGGATCAGTGCGTGGCTGCTCAACTGGTGTAGTAGGGCTTTGACTTTGACCATGTGATGTTGTTCCAAGAAGAAGGATTGCTGGGAAGAGTTGGGATCCACCTGACAAAGAAAGGGAAGAGCATCTTGTCAGACAGGCTTGCTAACGTATTGAGGAGAGCTTTAAAATTGGCTTGCGGGGAGATGGAGACCAGAGCCCTGAGAGAAGTGGGGATGCAGGGGACCTGGAGGAAGTGCAAGCAGGAGGGGGAAATGTTCTTATTCTTCCTGAGAAAGTAGGGCAATCAACTAATTACATCAGTTGCCTGTACATGAATGCACGGAGCCTGGGAAACAAGCAGAAGGAATTGGAAGTCCTCACAGTCGCAGATGTGATTGGAATAACAGAGTCTTGGTGTGATAGCTGTCATGACAGGAGCACCGTCATAAATGGGTATAAACTATCCAGAAAGGACAGGCAGGGGAGAAAAGGAAAAGGAGTTGCACTGTATATAAAAGAGCCATGTGATTGATCAGAAAGGATCCTGGTTTTCTCCGATTTAAAAAAAATCCTTAATTTCCAGATCAAAAAAAGTAACCCCAAATCCACATTCTTCTGTGATTAAAATGAAACACCACTATACATATACATATATCTATATCTAGAAGAACTCCATTTTTAATCATTGAAAAATGTGGATTTGGGGTTACTTTTTTTAATTGGAGAAAACCAGGATCCTTGGTAATGACCTTGGGCTTCAGAAAAGCAGACTTCGACTCACTCAGGGAACCGATAGGCAGAATCCCCCTGGGTGAGCAATTTGAGGGGGAGAGGAGTCCAGGAGAACTGGCTCTACTTTAAAGAATCCTTACAGAGAGCACATGAACAAATGATTGTGATGCACAGAACTACCAAGTATGGCAGAACACCAGCAGAGAATACTTCAGTGAGCTAAAACACAAAAAGGAAGCTAATAAGAAGTGGAAATTTGCACAAACAACTAGGGAGAAGTATAAGAATACTAGTTGGGCATGCAAGGGTGAAATTGGGAAGGCCAAAGCGCAGGTAGAGTTGCAGGTAGCAAGGGGTGTGAAGGGTAACAAGAAGGGTTTCTACAAGTATGTTAACAACAAGAGGAGGATCAGGGAAAGTGTGGGTCTTTTACTAAATGGGGGAGGCAACCTAGTGACAGAGGATGCAGGAAAGGCTGAAGTACTCAATATCTCTTTCACCTTAGTTTTCACAGGCAAGGTCAACTTCCGGACTACTGCACCTGGCAAAACAATTTGGGGAATAGGTGAGCAGCCAACAGTAGCAAAATAACAGGTTAGGGACTATTTAGAGAAGCTGGATGTATACAAATCCATGGGGCCGGGTGGGATTCGTTCAAGAGTGCTGAGGGAGTTGACCTATGTGATTGCAGAGCCAGTCGCCATCAGTTGGTGATTGGGAGAGATCCCAGATGATTGGAAAAGAGCAAACATAGTACCCACCTTTTAGAAAGGAAAAAAGAATTCAGGCAACCACAGACCTGTCAGCCTCACCTGAGTCCCTGGAAAAATCATGGAGCAGATCCTCTAGGACTCCATTTCTAAGCACTTGGAGCAGAAGGTGATTAAGAACAGTCAGCATGGATTCACCAAGGATAAGTCATGCCTGACCAACCCGATTATGTTCTATGATGAGATGACTGGCTCTGGATGTGGGGAAAGCAGTAAATTTGATATACCTTGACTTCAGCAAGACTTTTCATATGGTCTCCCACAACATTCTTGCAGGCAAGCTAAGGAAGTATGGGTTAGATGAATGGGCCGTAAGGCAGATAGAAAACTGGCTGAATCATCAGGCTCAGAGGGTAATAATCAATGGCTTGATGTCTAGTTGGCAGCTGGTATCAACGGGAGTACCTCAGGGGTCAGTCTTGAGGCCAGTTCTGTTCAATATCTTTATCAATGGCCTGGAAGATGGGATGGTGTACACCCTCAGCAA